GGGGGGGGGGCAGCCTGCCACCCCGGGGCTTGGGCAGTGAGACCCCGGGCAGCAAGTGCCCCTCCTCTCCAACCTGAGGCCGACCCGGCTCCGGCTCCAAGGACTGTGAAATCACCCGGGCCAGGGAATTTCTTTGCAGGCTGATAGTCATCACTTCCCCTTCACCCCGCCCTGCCTCCCTGCCTGCCCAGAGGCATGGCTGGTGACAGATGGCCTCAGGTGACGCGGGCGTGACACAGACGACACAGGTGTGACATTGGCGGACACCGGCCACCCGAGCAGAGGAACCCGGGACACCGGGGCAGCACCTTCTGGATGAGCCCCCTCCTCCCCTGGAGCCCGCCCCCTGCAAGCCAATCCCTAAATCATTCCACAGCCTCCAGCGATGTTCTTTATTAAGGCCCAGTCCAGTGGCGCACACCCGTGATCCCAGCACTCTGGGAGGCTGAGACCAGAGGGTCGCCAGTTTGAGCCCAGCCTGGGTACGTTTAGCAAGACCTTCTCCCAAATTAAAACATAATTTTTAAAGGGGGACTGAGGAAGTAGCTCAGTACAAAGGCCCTTGGTTCAATCCCCAGTACTGAAAACACAAAACAAAAGCTTTGGTGGGGGGCTAGGCATGGGCTGGTCACAGCCGTGAATTCTTCCCAAATTGGTGATTCCCACCCTGTCTGGATTCTACCTTCTGCCTCAGCCCCGCTGTGCTGGTTCTCTCTCTCTCTCTCTCTCTCTCTCTCTCTCTCTCTCTCTCTCTCTCTCTCTCTCTCCATCCTGGGAGCACTTGGGTGGTGCCTGGCCCTCTGCAGGGGGCAGGAATGTTTGCTGAGTGAGTCTCTTTGTGTCCCTGACACCAGATGTCTGTGCTTCCTGCCTGCCCCAGGGCTTGCTGTGGCCACCAGGGCGGTTCCTACACGGACATCGCAGGCAGCAGAGGTTGTGTCCTTCGGGGCTCATTGCTCTGGGCTGGGCAGCACCCCAGGCCCTGCCCAGCATGAGGTCGCTGCCTCCCCAGCCTCTGTGACATCATGTTGAAATTTGGGTCCCCACCGTGGGCTGATGAGGGCAAGGTGGTGGCCACCAGGGGGCAGCTGTGGGCAGTGCTGCTAGCGAGGGTTATGCTTGCTCCACAGCGGGTGCAGGATGGGGTCACCTGCTTTCTGGAGTCTGAGGGACAGTGGGACAGGGCCTGGCTTTTGTCCTTTCCCTCAAATGCAGTGCACGTTCCCCACCAGTTTGAGGCCACTGCTGCTCTTCCAAAGGGTTCCAGGGAGAGTGCTTTTCAGGGCTCTTTTAGTCTTCACGGCCCAAGGATGAGGACAGGGTGTGCTCAGAGATGCTGCAGCCGGATGGTGTGGAGGGACTGGGGGAGGAAAGGCCCCCCGACCTCAGCGTGGCTCAGCCCTCGCCATGTGTTTCCTTCCTGGCTTTGCTGTCTGTGAACCCCGGGCCTCCTTCCTCTCCCTCCCTGCTTCTCCATCCGCCCCAAATCCGCCCACCCTGGGTGGAGGACAGAGAACCGCTGCTGGGATCACAGGGCCAGGACTCCTGCAGCTTGAAGGGCAGCCTGGGGCTCCTACTCCCAGAGGTGTCCTGGCACCTGCCATCCTGCATTCGCTCACTCACTCCCTCACCCAGTCACCTGATCACTAGCATGGATTGCAGGGCTGGTGGGGCTATGGGTGACTCAGGATGCACCCGTGCTCTTGTCTCCTGAGTGCTTACAGAGCGAGAGATTCAACGGAGCAAGCCTCAGTAAAGACCGCCAGAAGTAAACATGCCCTTTCCAGGGCAGGGGACAGCAAAAATCAGCCAGCCAGGGATGGGCGGGAAGCCAGAGGGAGGCAGTCAGGAAAGCTTTCCTGTGGGAGGAAGAACTTTGAGGCCAGTGAGACCTAAAAGGGGGAAATCAGCCTCCGAGGAGGTTTAGAGGCAGGAAGACGTGAGGTGGGCTCCGAGCTGCTGACCTGCACCCTCTGTACCCCTCTTGTGATGGTCTTGGATCGCTGCTCTGGTGTCATTGCTTTGATTGCCCCGGAGAGCAGGCAGTGGCCCCGACCTTGCCTGTCCTAGGCTGGGGCGCAGAGGAAATCCATGTGACCCTCCTGTTGGTCTAAGTGCTCAGGCGCTCCCCGCCCACCTGACCCTTTCCGGAGGGACCTGGTTCCCAGATGCACCTGCTTCCGCTCCAGCTTGGCCAACCGCAGTCTCTGCAGGTGATTGGTCCCTTGGGCCCTCACAGGAAGCTCCAGCCACCACCCTCCTTCACAGTAAGCGTCCTTCCTGCCCCTGTTTCTGTGCCAACTAGGGAAAGCATCTCTTTAGCAAGTCTCCTCGAACTGTGCCAGCATCCACCCCAAGGGCTCCCTTGGAGCCCTAGCTGGGGGGCCACAGGTCAAGCCCATGGGAGTTGGGCAGAGCAGGGTCAGAACCCAGCTTGGTCTGTTTCCCACTCTGTACTGGCTGGATTTCACAGAAACCATTCAGGTTCCCTGCCCAGCCCCCTCTTTCTGTAAATGACCCCTGCGGCTCCTTTGGGGCTCATCCTCTGCTCCTCTCCATCCTTGGACACCAAGGGGAGCTGCCCAAGGTCACTGTTTGGTTTGAGAATAGGTATTGATCCCAGCAGGGCAAACCTAGGATTTTTAATGGCTGGAAAGGGTCCACCTTTTTCCACTGGGGTTGTTGAACCAGTCAGACATAAATCCAGCCTTGGCACCACAGGGAAAGAGTCTTTTTATAAAGTGAAACAGCAGAGAGAAAAGCAAAGTAAAGGAATAGATACATTGACCTGGTCACATTGTTTGAAATCCTGGATCCAGCCAGACCTGAAGTTATCCCTGGAACTTTTCAGGTTTGTAAACCAATAAGTTCTTCCCTTTTTTGGCTTATGCCAGTTTGAGTTGGCTTTTTTTTCTCTTGCCTCTCTTGACTTGCCAATTTGGTCAGAGAATTAAGTGAAATGATAACGCGGGTAGTGCCTGGCGTAAAGCAGGTGGCTCCATTACATTTCCATATGGCGGGAGATTTCAAGACCCAGAGCAACAGCTTCCTCTTCCTTATTCTCTCCCAGCCCTCTTACTTTTTCACTTTGACACAGTCTCCCAGCCCAGGCTGGCTTTACAACTGCAATCCCCCTGCTTCAGCCTCCCAAGTAGCTGGAATTCAGGAATGCCCCCCCCAGAGTATCTTCTCTCTGTTTGGTGTCCCCATTTAGCAGGCCGACGGTGTCAACTAAGCCCAGGCAAAACCCCCTCAGAGATGGCTTTGAATCTCTCAGGAGGGACCATAGGCGCTAGAAAAGCCTTCACTGCCATCTAGTGGACATCTTCTGAAACAGTAGCCCAGAGTGACAGCCTGGGGACAAGAATTTGGCTGAGCCACCTCACCCTGCAAGTGAAATTTCAAGGGAAAGTGAATTAACTGCGAAGTCAAGAAAAAGCCTGTCCCATGGGGTGTATACACTGGTCCCTAAGGTCCTGGGCTCCTGCCCTGCCACTGTGACCCTCCACCTCAGTGCAGAAATCACAGCAGCTTTCTTTGCTCCTTGTAGCTGTTGGGTCTGGGGCAGGTTGTGCGTGCACGTGTGTGTGTGTGTGTGCGCGCACGCAGGCATGTGTGTGTGTGCATGTGTGCTTGCACAAGCATTGCTCGCTCTTGGCCTCCCAGAGGAGAAGGTGCTCATCGCAGTTACAAACAGGACAGCAGGTCAAAGCTGCTTGACAGGGGCCGCAAAAACATCAAGACCCTTCTGTCCATCTGCTCTCTGATCATAAAGACACTCGGAGAAAGATGAAAACCGACCCAGTGGACGGAGTAACACGCGGTGCCAGTCCCGTCTCCCGGCTGCTGCCTCGCTGGCCTGTGCAGCCTGCCCTCTGGCTTGGCTGGTGGAGCAGAGGGGACCCCCACCAGGACAAAGGAGGGGAGCCCCTATGGCCTCTCTCTGCCACACTGCAGAAGGGACCGGAAGCCACACCCCCACCATTACCCTTCTGTCTCTGCCCATTTGGCACCTGAGTCCTGGTCATGTCACCACCCTTGCACCTCAGTGACATTTTACTTCCAACTCAAACACAACTGACAGCAAGAGGTCAGCCTTGAGCATGGAGCCCCGGGAGTGGACAGAGAAAGATGGCGACCAGAGGCGGCTCCCCGGAGTGAGGTTTGGCGTCCTGTTTCCACCTCCACGGCCTGGCTCCAGACCCCCAAGGCCAGGAAGATCCCAGAACAGGCAGTGCTGGCCACTTCCCAGGGAGAGAGACCGCTGCAGCGGCACCCTGGTACTTGTCACTAATCTATTCTGGGAGGCGCTGTGAATGCCGAAGATGAAAGAACCAAACAAATAGCTTTGGCCAGAAAGGCAGCTGACACTGACAACTCTTAGCTTGTGCAGTGAGTATCAAACAAATAAATACTGGGACAAAATTTGCATCAAAATGTGTCAAGTGCCAATTCGACGAGTTTCAAAGCCGCGCGCGGAATAGCGAGCTGTGACTGACTAGACCTCCGATTCTACTTCCACGTCTATTTTGGACGATTTAGGGCCCAAGGAGAGCGTGTCTCCTGCCGCAATGAGCAAGTGTCACACGCACCGCTCTTACTCCACTCCGCAATCTCAAATCGTCCCCACAATCCCAGGCTTTAGGAAAGGTACGTCCATCTGGTCCCAGCAGACCACCTGCCCCCCTCCCGCCCCTGTTGCTGTGCACGCGGCCTGGGGCCCCCAGAGGAGGGAGCTCAGAGGGAAGTCAGGAACCACCCCCCAGCGCCCCTTCTGCCAGCCCAGTCCACTCACGTTCAAGGCGCCAGAGAACTTGACTATGGGTTCGCTCCAGCGAGTGATCTTCTGTCTGTAGTCATTGCAGTCGGGAATGAACATGCAGCCGATGTTCCCCAACTCGGGGCACAAAACTTCAAGGCCCCTACTGACAGAAGGAAGCAGTCACTCCCATGGCAGAGCTCCAGGGGACCCAGGGGCTTTATAACACTTCGGCCTAGCGCTGGTGGGAATGGAACGTCGGTGACATCACATCCTGAGCCTGACGCTGAGTAGTTGTGTGTTCCGAGTCACTTGCCATGTTTGTGTCCCATCTATATAAGGAGGGGGGGTGCTAGTAGATGCCTGTACCTAGGGTTGGTAAGGAATAAGGTCCTGGGCAGAGTTTAGGTTTTCTAAAAAAGTGCTTGTGTTTCCAAGAAGAACGTTCAGCCATTCCTGGGTAGCTGCTAAGGACTTCTCATTGATACTGAATTCTCCCAGTGCTCACATCCCTTGCATAAACGGGTACGCGTCTTCCCATAACTTACACAGTCCCCTGCGTCCTTTAGATCATGGCTAGTTCATTTATGACACCTAGGATGTCATAGCTGTGGAAGTGGTTGTCATGCTGTATAATTTAGGGAATAACAAGAAGAAAAAATGTCTGTACGTGTCCGGTACAGAGGCAGTTTCCTGCAAATCTGTTTGAGTTTGACCTATGGTTGGTTGGCTCCATGAATGAGGAACCTTCAGACAGGGTGTGGGGAGGTGGTCAGACGTCCTTAGCAAAGTTGCTCAGTGTCTGCTGGAGCATGATCCTGGCACCGCTGTGATCCTGGCACTTGGGAGGCCGAGGCAGGAGCGTCATGAATTTGAGGCCAGCCCAGGATACATAATGAGTTGGTGGCCAGCCAGGAGTACATAGTGAAATCTTGTCTCAGAAAACAAACAAAAATGCACGCACGCGTGCACACGCACAAAAATCCTTGGTTGGTGTCTTTAAAATTGCATATTTATATGTTGCTCATTAGGAAGAGAAACGTTTAGCAAGTCAGCATAGCCTCTTTCATGGACAGAGAACTTTTCTGACTCCTAAACCACCCAGAGCTCTCTGTGTCTGCAATCCCATCCGTGGGGGTTTGAGTTAGGCTCCTGTTACACATGCAAATATCCCCCTGGGTAAAACCTCCAGCCGGAGGAGTGAGGTATGAGCCACTTAGACCTGTGCTCCCCGAGAGGAGGAGCTGAAGAGCTCCCACGTCGGAGAGTCTGGTTTCCCAGGAGGAAAGAAAATGATGGGACAGTGGTCACAGCTCGGGACAAAGTCAGTCATCTGTGACTTCGCCAGGGTTGGCCTGAAGGGCTCGCCGAGGTGTTTTATTCTAAGTTTAATTTCTGTTAGTCCATGCTTGCAGCACCTCAGGATTATGTTCCTTGCAGGGAGTTGGTCCGTGTACATAGCACGTCTTCATTCTGTTTCCTCCCTCGCCTTTCCCTCCTCTCCTTTCCCTCTCTGTCCACCTCTTGGTCCCCTTCCCTTTTGCAAGAGATCTAGCTCCCTGTTTCCTATTATCTTCTCTTTTGCTCTTTAAATTATGTATGATTGGGGGTTTTCATATGAGAGAAACTATGCCATCGTTAAGCTTGTGCATGATTTATTTCACTTGACATTATGGTCTCAAGATGCATTCATTTTCCTATAAAAGACTCAAATTATGCATAAAATACCACACTTTCTTCATCCAATCATCTGTTAATGAACAAATAGCCTGTTTCCAGGATTTGGCTATTATGAGCTGTGCCGCTATAAACATGGGCACGCGTGCATCAGTGTAACATGACCTCTTTAACTCTCTGGGGAAGATCCCTGGAAGGGCAATAGCTGGGTCAAATGGAATTTCCAGTTTTAGTTTTCTGAGGAATCTCCATGTTGTTTTCTGCAATGGCTGTATTAGTTTACATTCCCACCGCCAATGTAGAAGGGTCCCTTCTTCCCAGCAGCCTTGCCAGCATGCGTCAATACTTCGTTGCTTGATGACAGCCATTCTTTCTGGAGTAAGATGGAATCTCGGTGTTGTTTAACTTGCATTTCTCTGATAACCTGGGATATCAAAACACTTTTCCATGAACTTATTGGCCATTTGTACTTCTGAGAAGTATCTATTCATTTAAGTTGCCATTTTTTTTATTGGGGATCTATGTTTTTAGTTATTGATATATTCTAGATATTAGTCTTAGGTCTGAGGTGTAGGTGCAAAAATATTTTTCCCGTTCTATAAGCCGGCCCAGGGATTTAGCTCAGAGGCACCACGCCTACCTTGCAAGCACAAGGTCCTTAGTTCAATCCTCGTACCAAATTTAAAAAAAAAAAATCTGTAGGCTGACTGCACTGTGTTGGTTGTTTCCTTTGCTGTGCACAGCTTTTTAATGGGATGTGATCCCACTTGTTGATCCCTAGTGCTATTTCTTGTACAACGGGGGTTCTGGTCAGGAAGTCCTCACATACCCCGATTTCTTCGAGTTTTACCTATTTTGTTTCCCAGCAGGCTAAGTGTCTTTGATCCATTTTGATTTTGGTTCAGTAGTAGGCATGTACAGCTCTAGATTTCATCTGCACGTCAGTACGTCAGTAGTAGCCAGCTTTCTCAAGCAGCATGTGGTACAGTCTGTCTTTCTTGGCCCTTCTGTCAGAGACTGGAGAGCTGAGTGCCCCGGGGCCATTTCTTCACCCTCTCTTCTGTTCCATTAGTGCACCCATCTGTGTGCCAGCTCCATGCCATTTGTAGCTTTGAGATCTAACCTGACATCCAGGATTGCGATGCCTCCTGCCTTGCTCTTGTTACCTGAAACTGCTTTTGCCATCTTGGGTCTCTTCTGATCCCATGTGAATTGTAGGGTTGCTTTCTCTGGCTCTGTGGAGAAGGTCCTGCACTTTGATTGGGATTGCATTACAGCTGCACACCGTTTTGGCAGTATGACCATCTTGACCACATATCTTTCCATTTTCTGATGTCCTCTTTCTCAATTTCGTTTTCCAGAGTCCTGAGGTTTTTATTATAGAGGTCTTTTGCTTCCTCGGTCACATTAGTTCCTAAGTATTTAATTTTTCTTACTATTACCGTGAATGGTATTGTTTTTCTAATTTTTTTTTTCTCAGTGAGTTAATTATTGTTGTACGGACACTATTGATTTTTGTGTTGATTTGTACCCTGCTATCACCTGTTTTTGAAACTCAGAAATATAAGCCAGACTTTTGAATAGATATATTAAAAACTCTTTGTGCCAATTTTTTAAAAGTCTGCCCTTCTGACACCCCCCCCTCCAAGATCCAGGGTCTCTTTAGCATTAATTTGGTTAAGATGATTCATTTCAAGGACTGCAAGTTCAAGCCCAGTCTGGGCAACTTAGTGAGATCCTTTTCTCAAAATAAAAAATAAAAATGTCTGGGGATATAGCTCAGCGCAAAGGCCCTGGGCTCGAGCTCCAGTACCACACACATTGAAAAATGTTCTAATATGAACAAAATGTGTTACTATTTTTTCCTAGGATCCAACTACATAACTTTTTAGGAGATTTTTATTCTAAACGCGAAGATTCAAATGTGCAGAAGAAGATGGAGTAAAAAGTTAAAGTTCTTTTTTGTTGTTTTATTGGGACAGGGCCTCACTATGTAGCTCAGGCTGGCCTGGAACTCACGGTGATTCCCCTGCCTCAGCCGCTTGAGTGTGGGTCTATACTGATCTAAGAAGTGAAAGCTCTTTCTCCCCCCTCTCCCGTTTCTGAGAGGGGCTCTGCAGACAGTGCCTTTCTTAGCCACCAAACTGCAGAGGGTGTGGCCTCAGAGTGGCCCAGGGAGCCCAGAGCCCGGCCCAGGCATCTGGACAAAGTTGCTTTTCTAACAGGGAGCCAGTGAAGTGCAGCCTGAACAGCGGGGAGGGAACATTCTGGGCTGTTGGTTGCGGGGGAGGCTCGCTCTGGGCCCCAGCAGGAAGGGCTGGGCTGTTGGGGAGCCCTCACAGCTGGCCCGGGGCAGTGCTCCCCCACCCTTCCCGCCACCTTACTTGCACAGCACGGCGTCCTCATCAGACAGGGGCTTGTAGACGCACTCGTCTTCTTTGTCACCAGCGGCCACCATCAGGAGACCCAGACACAAGGTTGCGGCAACCAGCATCATCGTCCCGTCGGTGGACACCTGGAACCCAAGGAAGGAACCACTCCAACAGCAGGGCCTTCTGTAGGGCCCTTCCCTGTGCCCGACCCCAGCCCAGGGCCGCCCAGCAGGATAGAGCTCCGGGAAGCTTGGGGAGGGTGGCAGCCGGCGGTCTGGGCTCCAGCAGCTAATCCGTCACCCCACACATGTCCCTCGGGAGAACTTGGGCCTGCTCCAAGCTGGACTCAGTTTGCAGTCCTGGCATGGTAGAGCTTTGTTGCCACTCCTGTCCTGGCTGCCAGGGCGGAAGCCTGCTAAGAGGTCCTCACAGGAGCCTGTAGCACAGCTTTCTGGCTGACCCTGGGGGCTGGGGATCCCAGGCCCAGGCCTGGGTGAGGACTTCCGCTTTGGCTGAGCTATGCCCCTGGGACCTCTGCCTCTCCAACCTCCAGGCCACCAGTCTCCTCAGCCTGGGCCGCCCGAAGGAGGATATGGTTGAACAGAGTGATCGGCGCAGGAGAGGGTGGACTGCCTGCCCGAGGCGGCTTGGGAAGGTCAGCTGGGCGCACAGGGTGCAGGAACAGAGGGAGTGACAGGCTGCACCTTGCTGCTGTGCTGAGCTCAGCACTCTCCCCAAATCAGAGCCTCTGGAGAAGGAGGCCTGTGGGGCTGGGCTGGGCCCTGCATACTCCCCACCTCTGGAGACGCCACCTCCTAGGTCCTCCCTAAGATCCACCCCTGTCCCCTTTCAAAAACAAATAAAATGACCCTGGATACCCCCAGCCCTTGTTAAGGACAATAACATAACCAGGAGAGCAACTGTTTCCTGCTTTCTGGTTCAATTCCTGCTTCTAGGAGGCCAAACTTTAGCAAAAAGCTGTCCTTTAGGCTTCAAGTTAAACGCATTTCTGAATCACTCAGCTCCTGAGTATGACCCACCCCGCCCCCACACACATAACTTCCTTCCAAGATCTCCCTGAGCAGAAAGCGTCTAACAGTAGCCCCTTGCCAAGATCAATGGGAGAATGGCATGAATTGTGTCACACGGAAGGAGGTGCCCAGCGAGTAATAATGCTCTGGAATATATGGAGAGTGCAAGTGCCCTATTCCACTGGTGGCTCTGAGGTAGGACAGCCGGGCTAGGGCAAACTGGATAGCCAACTGGTCAGTGTGTCAAAAGTTGTAAAAAACCACAGCTAACATGTGGAGTGAGATGTTTCTTAAAAAGAAAGAACATGCAGGCCAGGGAGTTAGCTCAGCAGTTCGGTGGCCTGCCTTGCAAGCACAAGGACCCAAGTTCAATCCCCGGTACAAAAAAAAAAAGAAAGAAAGAAAGAAAGAAAGAAAGAAAGAAAGAAAGAAAGAAAGAAAGAACAAACATGCACAGAACACAAGTCCCAAAATGAGTCAGGCTTATGGCTCCTAAGCACCGTGGACCAATCAGAAAAGTGCTATTTTCATTTGAATCTGGCACTGTTTGCAGGACCAATCAGAAGGTGCTATTCTCAATCTTTCATTTCCATATAGACACAACCAGTCAAATGACACTGTTTCTGATCCTTCATTTACATCTGGCGAGAGGCCAAGAGAATTTTTCGATATGACCGTTTACATGTGATGTGACGAAAAAGTGACTTTTGATCGGAGAAATGTTCTAATATCTTGTTTGCACCAGGGGGACTTCAGTGTAGGTATTCTGAATATTAAAGACCCCTGTGGCTTTATCCTCAGGGTCACTGTGAGCCTATTTACCAGCCTGCTCTCGTCCTATAGAGTGTACCTCTTTCTCACTTTCAATAAATGTGTGCCCTCGCTGCCTTTTCTGTATGCCTTGTTCACTTCTTTGTTTGGGACACCAAGGACCTGGAAAGAGGCCCCACGGGTCCCATCATCTGGTAACACGTGTACCCATCCCTCCCCTTACTCAGGCCACATGCTGACCCCTGGTGATGGGTTGAGCACTGTCCTTTTCCTCACAAAGTCCCAAGACAGCCATAGGCAGAGAATAATGCTACCAAAACGGTTGCCTGAGGCCAAGAGACTCTTGTCTTCAAAATGGCAGCCACTGGAGAAGCCAGAACTTTCCTGGGTGCTGACAGCTGTTAGGCCACTTAGGGGAGAATCCGTAGTGCAGGGTCACTGCTGTGAAGCCCACTTACCCCACTTACCCCAGCCACTCAGCATCTGTGTGCCAGGCACTTTGACCACTCAATCCTCATGCCAACACTATAAAGCAGGTAGTGTACATTACCACCCCATGTTCCAGAGAGGAAACTGAGGCATAGAGAGTTTAGCTAACCTCATCTAGGTCACACAGCTAGTAAGTGGCAAACCTGGGATTTGAACCCAGGCAGTCTGGCTCGAGGGTCCATACACTTAACCTCTCTGCTCCACTGCATGTTGCTGCTACCCTCTTGTCTTCCCACTTACATCTTTTTGCTCTTAGCATAAGGCCCAGAATCCTCCACATGGCGTCCTATGCCCTGCATGATCTGGCTCTTCCAGCCTTTCTAGCTGTGTCTACCACCCTCCACCTCTCACATGTTAACTCTCACGAGTCACTTAAGCTCTGCCTTGCATCAGAGCCTTGCTAGGGCCTGGCTCACTGCCAGCCCATCTACTGGGTAGCTGGAGTGTCATTTCCTCTGCGAAATTTGCCTTGACCATTGATCAGATTCCTGTTAGATACAATCAGATCATCCGAAGCCTTTTCTCATTATTCTTATATATTTATAATGGATTATTTTGTATTTCAATGGTAGCTGCCCCATTCACACCCCAACACATACCACAGCCCATTAAGTCCTGGAGCGCGCATCCTCATTCCGAGCTCCCTACCTGGAGTATGTAGTTGCTTAAGAAAACACATTTAAATGCATGACCAACTTGCTCTTTGCCCTTCTACAGTCCTCACTTTCACTTAACAGCGCATAAGCTCTCCATAAACATCAATACGAAGCTAATCACGCACATCGGGCCCCCAGTCCTGGATCCCTTTGGCTTGTTTATCTAACGCTCCCTGACTTGTTTTCCTTCAGAGGCTCCTGGCAGAAAGCAGCAGTGCTTGGCTTTTTCAAACCTGATCTTTCTCCTGAGACTCACAGGACATGCCTTTCGCTCTGAGAGATAAGATCTGGGGCCATGTTCAAGCCTGGGACTGGACTCTCCCTTCCCACAGCTGAGCTTCCTGTGCTCCACTGTCTCACCCCAGAAGCTCCCATGGCTGGATCCCTCAGTGCCTGAAGCCCCTGTCTCCTCCTTCAGTCACCTGGGATGGGGCCACCTCCAGACTATTACTCAGGCCACACCAGGTGACTTCCTGAGAAGCCCCAGCCCCTCCAGCCACTGGGGTCTGCTGGGTCCAGGCCTCCTCCTTCTAATCCCGACTCCACCTCCACCCAGCCTCGCCTCTCTCTCTACCCAGGCTCAGATACACACTCTTCCTTCCTCCTGCGCCTTTCCCAGTGCCCTTGGGAATCCCTGAGCTATAATGGATCAATTCCCCATGGTCGAGTTCCTTTCATTCCTAATCAAACATTGAGATGAAATTCACACCCGCTACAATGCACTCCGAACAGGCCCAACTCAGAGTGTCAGTACACTCACAAAGTTGTACACCCATCCCGGCTATTTGATTACAGGTCATTTCCGGCCGGGTGTGGTGGCGCACACCTGTGATCCCAGCACTCACAGGCTGAGGCCCGAGGAACACGGTGAGTTCAAGGCCAGCCTGAACCATATAGCAAGACTCTGTCTCAAAAGCCAAAACAGTTTTTGTTTAATTTCCAGATCATTTCATCAATTCCAAAGAAGTCCAGCACTCATCAGCAGTCACAGCTGTCCCACCCTCCCCAGCCCCTGACAGCCTGGTTTATTTTCCATCTCCAGCCTCTCCCACACCTCTCCACACCCACTTTCTTAGACACGGTCATCGTTACAGACTTTGTCCCTAAAATCGCACTGTGGGGCAGCTGAGGGCTCAGGTCACCATCTCTCCTCTCTCTTGCTCCCCTGTGACTCCCCCTGCACCCCGTCTTTCAGCTCATTCTGCTGTCTGCTTCCTTGACCACTTTCCTCGCCTCCTCTCCCGTCCTGACTACTGTGCTTCCCTCTGTTACCCAGGTCCTGGTGAAACTGTGTTTTACACTTCACTGGCCAACAGCTTCACCTCCTTCTGTCTCTCCTCACATCACAGCCAGTGGCTGCAACTCCAGTTTGGGACCCATCTGAGGGGCTGCCTGTCCCTCTCTTTGCCATGTCCTGTGCCCGCTTCAGGGCCGGGGGCTCAGGAAGAGGGGGAGCAGGACAGTCATTGTGCTAAGTGAAAGAAGCCAGTCACAAAATTTGACATCCAGAATAGGCAATACATGGGGTCAGAGGCTGTGGGTTAGCGGGGAGTGGAGTGACGGGTAGGGAAGGCGGCCAAGAACATGGCATGAAACAGTTCGAAAACTGTGTGATAGCTGCACATAATCTAAAATCCACTGAATTCTACACTTGCATTGTACCCATGGCCTTTGCACTGAGCTACATCTCTAGACCTTTTTGTATTTTTTATGTTGAGGCCGGGTCTCCATAAGTTGCCAAGTTGCCTGGAGTAGACCTGAACTCACGATCCTTCTGCCTCAGTCTTTTAGGCCACTGGGATTACAGGATGTGCCACCACACCCGGCCATACAGCACTTTAACATTGGTGAATGTGAAGCCTATCACAATAAGGTTTTTAAAAAAAATCAATCCTGGCGATGTTAGCATAATGTAGGACTAGGAAGCTCCAAGTGCTTGTTCCCCACTAGAAACCCACATGTACACACACACACACACACCCATGCACACATGAATACACACAAACTTGCTGAACTTCAGAGCAGGTCTAGAAAACAGTTGAAGGTCTAGAGCAAGCTAATGAATGTCCATTCAAGAAAAGCCTCCTTGCTGGGCATGGCAGGGCACATCTGTAATCCCAGCTACTCGGGAGGCTGAGGCAGGAGGGTCACAAATTTGAGGCCATTCTGGGCAATTTAGTGAGACCTGTCTCAAAA